ATGCGAATTTTGTCACTGTTTTGGAGCACACTGCCTTATAGATAACCTTAAGACTAACATATTGACACTAACTTTAATTTTGATTTCATGGGGACTTTAACATGGTACAGTGTCCAAAAGACTTCTCATTTGATCTGCGATATTATGCAATACAGTTGCCCATTTTGAAATGTTCTGCCTTTATCCATAACATAAAAAAAAAAAAATTATAATAATAAAATAAAAAAGTAAGTAAAAGTGTACAAACCATTTTTTTCCTGCACAGCTTGACTCTTTTATCTGGTGTAGCGTTTCCATTTCCATTCATAACTTTTGCTAACCGGCCCCATTGTTCTCAAGCTTAAGACAACAGACAGTGTGCACAGAGAATCCCAGGAGTGTTTGAAAGTTTAAAGAATGGCTTAGCCTTTCTCATTTTTCTGCATTTTACTTTGGGAAGTTTACTTTCAGTGGCTGAGCTCCTGCTGGAGATTAATGAACACATTTGGTCGGGGCTGCATTGTTCCCATCGAAAATGCCCATCTACAGTGCTATGATTTATGGACAGCCGGCAGTGCATGAGCTGTAATTTGAAAGGGGTTTGTTTTTCCTCATGAAGATGGAATTTTAAAATTCTGAGATTAATAACACCGCTCTAGTCATTTATATAGTACTGCAGGGAAAAATAGAGAGGGAAGGAGCAGAAGGTACAGACCACAAATTTTAGCCTTTTGATGTCATGTGCGATAGCTGCAATAGCTGCGTGTGTGTGTGTGTGTGTGTGTGTGTGTGTGTGTGTGTTCAGAGGTATTTAGTCATTGATGTCACTTCCTGCATTAATTGTGAGAGTTTAATGAATATGTGAGTAAATTCAGCATGAAATATACAGGCATGTATTATATCAAAATAGTTGATCGGCAGTTGCTGAATATTTATCCTGAGTAGGTCAGCTTCTGATCCTCATTTTCTTCTTCTGCTTTGATCTGCTGTGTGGTTCACATAGTTGAATTAATGCAGTGCTCATTCTCATGGGAAAGAAAAATCTCAAATGAGATCTCTATTATATCTTGATTTTTTTTTTCTTTAATGAGAATAATGGAGAGCAAATGGAGACTTTTACTGAAGGCTCTGGCTTCTTAGATGCTTCTTGTGAGGAAAAAATGTCTTAGATGTATTTCCTTTAAAGTTTCATAAGATCCCAATGTCTCAAAATGAGCTCAGAGGGATTTTCTCTCCACCAGCACAAGCAACAAATAACCCTCAGAAGGCAATTTTGGGCCCTGGGCCATTGGACAAGTCCTGATACCCCCCCTGGGGGTGTTTGCGGAGTCATG